GGAAGGGTCAGCTAGCCAGTGTGCTTCAGAATTGTAACCAACGAAGAAAGAAACTAGGGCTTCCTGGAAGAAACAAAAAAGATGGGAAGAGGAAGCAAAAAGAAAAAGTCCCCAGGTCCCAACTCTGAGAACACTGACCCAGGACAGGTAAATGCAAAGGAGAATGAGCAGCAAACATGCAATATCAGACATGGCACCAGTGCACATAAAGAGATATCTTTGGGACCTCATAGATGAGTTCAAAAGGGAAATATTTAGCCAAGTAAAGCAAGATATAAGAAGATTAATAAAAGAGATGCCAAGCACTCCTCAAGCAGAAACAGACAGAAGAAGGGAGGAACTCAAACAAAGAAGAGAACCATTTGATGAAGAATATAAGCAAAATATAGAATAGATGAAGCAGATTCAAAGATATCACCAGGAAATTAAAAACTCTATGGAAAGATGGCAAAACAGCTTGAAAGAAACTAAGGATAGATTATCCAAACTGGAGGACAGTTTTGCAATGTGGGATTATGAAAGGAAAAACTTTTTAAAAATAACAAAGAAACAAGCAGTAACAATACAAAGGCTAGAAGACAACAAGAGGATCTACAACTTGAGAATAAAGAATGTGAATGAAAAAACTGGGGTACAAACAAAGGAACTACAAAGGCTATTCACAGAAATAATTAAGGAAAACTTACAAAACATAGGAAAAGGAAATGATATTCTTATGTATGGGGCATACAGAACTCCAGCCACCTACAATGAAAACAGAGCTACACCCAGGCATATAATAATCAAGATCCCAGAGATTCATTATAAGAACAGAATATTAAAAGCTGTTAGACAAGAAATAGATAACCAATAAAGGAAGGCCCATCAGAATAACGGCAGACTTCTCGACACAAACCATCAAGTCAAGAAGACCCTGGAGCGAAATATTCCAAGCCCTGAAAGAAAATAACCTCCAACTCAGATTGATATACTCTGCTGAAATGTCTCTAAAAATTAATGGAGAAACAAGAGGCTTCTAAGACAAAGAGAACTTGGATAATTTGCAACCACCAATCCAGCTCTACAGAGAGTAGAATGCAGGGCATTCTAGAGAGAGAGAGAAAAGTACTAGGATTCCAGGAACAGTGGCAGAGAGGCCTCAATGAATGGAGCAGAAAAAAGAATGCAGACAACTGATTGCAAAACAACAACAACAACAACAAAAAACCACCCCAGCATAACAGAAATGAGACAGAGAAGGTTGGATATAATCTAGATGGCCTTGATACACTAAATTTAAAAAAAAAGAACCACACGTGGAGTAGTCAGAAAGCAGAGTCCACTGAAATGCTATTTATAGGAAATTTAATTAACATGAAAAAGAGTACATGGACTGAAAATCAAATATGAGAAAATAATGCTCTATGTGATGGAGAACCAGAGAGTAATAGGGGCAACTAGACCATTATTCGTGGATAGGCTGGAAAGACAGGCTTTAACAGGTGAAGGAATACAATTAGAGATCAAGTCCAGGAGAGAGAATGTTCAGAACCACTTAGGTAAATAGCAGGCTGTCCCCCCCCCCACCAATTTAAAACCAAAGGTCTTGGTCAGACCCAAAAATGCAGTGTATCCTGGGGAAATGAAAGGGGAGGGAGAGTCTTAAAAAAGACGGTAGAAGATATTGTTAATAGTGTATCAGGATTTAAATCCCACATTATTCACACTACTTTGCTTAGATAGATTTTATTCTGTTCTAGTTTGTCTACTTGCATTAGATTTGAGGGCACAGACAGCTATCCCAAAAACATCAGGCTATAGCACAGTAATCATCTTTAATTTCCTGTTAACTTAATCTGGAGCCCTGTATGACTTATACTGTTTTATCATGACTGACCTTAGTTAAATCTGGTTTGTTTGATTGCTGTTTGGTATCGACAGATGTTATTCAAAACTGATATGATTGATAGTATCAAGTCTGAGAGTATAGGCAAATACACTGAAGATGACAAGACTCTATGATACACATGGTTCGATAACTGCCTGTTTTTGAAGTTTTATACTACATACAAAGTTGTATTTTTATTAATACAGTTATGTATTGACATATTCAATTATACTATGTCTGATGATATAGCCAACTCTATTGAAGATAACAGGAGAAAACACAGTAGCCATGGCAGAACACCTTATACAGTGGTCTTACATGTTTTTTTCATTTCATGTGTTTATAGGAACATGCTTTGTTTTGTTTTGTCTTGCTTTATTTTTTTTCTCCCTCTAGTATAGAAAGGATAGAAATACATGTTAAGACTCATGCACGTGTAGAATCTATAAACAGTTTATGAGAACTGATCTTATGACACATGATTAAAAGAACAGATACTTTGAAGAAAAAGAGACACTAATGTACCCAGTGCTGATCCTGGAGTGTCATAATGTGAGACCCAGAAATAATATTATTCTTTGTTTAGAGTGATATTAGACTGCTTAGGTTTGTTCAATCTCAACATAACTGAAGATTTGGGTAACTGCATGTATGTTTAAGTGCATAGGATTGATAACCATATTTCTAAGTTTTTGTTTGATAGCTGAACAGAACTGGTTGCAGTCTCACTGTCTGAATCCCCACTTTATATGTTTCACTTTAGTATCTCGAATAACTATTTGTAAGAGGGAGAATCTATAATGATCAACTAGTGATTTCTTACTGTTTATTTTTTTCTTTGAAAGTATGTATTATTTCTACCCGTTTTCTGTTGTTTAGTCTTTCTTTAAAAAAAAAAAATAGACACTACAGTACCCAGTGCTGATCCTGGAGTGTCACGATGTGAAATTCAGCAATACTATTATTCTTTGTTCAGGATGACTTTAGCCTGCTTTCGTTTGTTTAATCTCAACATAAATGAAGATATGGATAACTGCATGTATGTTTAAGTGTATAGGATTGACAACTATATTACTAAGTTTTCGTTGGATAGTTGAACAGAACTGTTTGCAGTTTCACTGTTTGAATTCCCACTTTATATGTTCCACTTTTGTATCTTGAACAACTATTTGTAAAAGGGCAGTATGTAAACATTAACTAGTGATTTTTTACTATTTTAGCTCTGAATGTATGTATTATTTCTAGCCATTTTCTGTTTTGTTTAGTCTTTCTTTAAATAAAATTTAAAAAGTATACCCAGTTTTAAAAATATTTTACACATTATATATATTACCGATTATTTATCTAATATTCTAACTTATATCAAGTAAATATATTAACTTACAAGAACCCCAGAAGACAGATGTTACTTTTCTTATTTTTAGGCTCAGATAATTTAAGTGATTTGCCCAAGATCAAGCAACCATAGATGGAAATGTTAAGATTTGGACCCAGGTAGTCTGGATCCGCAGGATTATGCTTCTACCCCCTACACTATACTACAATAGGTAAAGTATACATACAATGGTGGTTTTCTTTCTTTCTTTTTAAAAAACTTTTCAGTCTTTTTTGATGCAAAGTTTTACTATGTGGTTCAGGTAGGCCTTAAACTCACTTTGTATCCCAGGCTGGACTCAAATTCGAAATCATCCTCTTACTTCAGCCTCCTGAGTGCTGGGATTATAGGCGTGTACCACTGCACCCAGTTTATAACAGATTTTTAATAAAAACTTTGAGAGTTTTCTTTTCATTATCTCTGTAATCATTTTCCCACTTTACAAGTGAGCAGTTAGACTCACAGAGGTTAAGTATGTTGCCGCGAGTGATAGTGAGAGCCTGTCTAAAACCCTCATGTGTTCTCTGAAGCCTGTAGTTATTCTATTATACCAAACTGCTTCTAATCTATAGTAATCTCGATCCTTCAGTGCTAGAATGATGTTTAATACATGAATCTTTAATAGTGTTCAGATGTAAACCATCTTTATAGAGGTTAAGCTTGGAGTTCCACAACAATAGTTTCTGTATGTAGATAATATATCTAGTAAGTACCTAGTAGTATGTAAGTGTAGTATGCCAGTAATATTCATAACTAATCTTTTTATCTAGTTAGCACCAAACGGGCAGGTAGAGAGAGATTAACAATTCTAACTCATGTTTAGACTCAAAATTATCCTTGTAGTATTTGTTACTGTTCCTTTATTAAACTACTGAAGTTCTCATTTGTAAACTCTGGGAGAAAGACCTTGTTTGTGTTTTAAATCTTTGGCATCTAGCCTAGGGCTGGCTTACTAGAAAATACTCAACATACTTAGTAAACAAATAAATGACAGTTTGAGAGGATCTGGGTTGTCTTAGCTTCACCATTTTCAGGTCCTTGACTATCACAAAACAACTTGAAACTATAGGATATTTGTCTTATCTGAATCTTATTTTTAGAAGCAGTATGGTATAATGGAATGATTACAAGCTTCATAGAACACATTACCGTTGTAGATTACTATAGATCGAACACTTAATATGGAAATCTGAAATCTAAAATGTTCCAAAATCTAAAATTTCTTGAGCACTCATAGGAGTGCTCATTTTTTGATTTTGAATCATTTTGGATTTCAAATTTTGGTCTAGAGACTCAATTAGTAAAGTCTCTACAAATATTCCTAAATCTGAAAAACCCCAAAGTCTGAAATACTTCTTGTCCCCAGCATTTCTGATGAAGGATACTTAATACAATATAGAGCCTGCCCTCAAGTTGCTCACTTATTCATAAAAAATAATCTGGGAGCATAGAAAAACAACCAACTCCTATTCAATTCCCAGAAATATCCTGCAACTGGGCTAAGATTTTTTTTATTTTTATTTTTTTAACCAGAATCTTTTTTTCCAAGGCAGGTTATTTAGTAAAAGACTTGGCAGTAACTTGAAACTTTCCTCTAGATATTGGATTACCAGCCAATTCTATTCTAGGATTTACAGAAGAACCAATCTCTGAGAATCCCCAAGAGAATATAGCATCTTAGCATGGTGACTTAGTCTTTATTTGCCCTTGAGAGTCTATTTTTATTTTCTGTTTCATGCACATAGGCTTTACTATTACCTTCTGGAGCCCAGGATTATCCGAGAGAAGCACTTTTGACATGATGGGTACGTAAAACTCAAATTCTGAAGAGCAAGTACTGAGGCAAGAAGAAATTTTCTAGTCATGTGTTTACACTGGGACCTAGAAAATAAAATAGTCAAGGAGATAAATGGCAAATCTTCAATCATATATACATAATCACTTGTAAGGAAAACCATTTAATTTTAGGCAGTAAGCTGTCTTGGTATGCAGTTCAGGCTGGCCTTGAGCTCATTTTGTAGCTCAAACTGGTCTTGAACTTGCAACAATCTTTTTGCTTTAGCCTTCTGAGTGCTGGGATTACAGGCATGTACCACCTTGCCCGGTTTAAAGTATCTTTTGTTTTCCGTTTTTTTTTTTAAGACAGGGTTTCACTATGTATGTAGTTAGGCTGACTTTGAACTTACTATGTAGCCCTGGCTGGCCTCAAACTTGTTGCAATCCTTCTTGCCTCAGCCTCCCAAGTGCTGGGATTAGAGTGGTGCATCAACACACCCAACCTGTTTTAATTTTTTTTTTTTTAAAGTGCACATAGTGTCAGTGTACTGAAAATTTACCTATTTTCCTCTTAATTAAAACTGTTAATAGAAAATAAAACAGTAGCTTAAGCAAATATTATTTATGAATAAATGCTCTAGTCTAGCAATTTAGGAGATTGTTTAACCCTATTATGCCCTTACAAGAAAATACAGAATGTTTGTATAATTTCAATAGGAAGGATGTTCCATGAATCTTTTCTTTTTTTAAGGCAGCGTCTATGTTGCCCAAGCTGATCTCAATTTCATGGGCTCAAGTGATCCTCCTCCCTCAGCTTCCTGCGTAGCTTAGGTCCAGGGGTTTGTGTCACCACACTTAGCTCTGTATGAATCTTTTAAAGATGCTTAATTGGTAGAAAATGGCTCTTTTTAGTTGAAACATTGCTTTATTAGATTCTAGTAAGCACATTTTTACAGTTTGAAGAAAAAGATTTTAGCTTTAGTAAACACAAACATGGCCAAAGGAGGCTTGGAGTGTTTTTAAGATTCTTGTGTAAAACACATCAAAGAAATAAAACAGTGAAACAGCAATGTTCTCTTCATATTTTTTTAAAAAAAATTCAATGTTTGTTTTGATTTTTTTATTGATTAATTTATTAACAGCATAAAATGAATGCTTTGAAATAAAGGTCTGTATGTTTGAGATGAAGCTGAATCAATTAATTTTTGCTTGTAACATGTGGCAAAGCTTTTAATTTCTACAAAAAAAGGAACTGTCTGAGACCTCCATTAGCAAATTCAACAAGATGGAAACTATTAATGTAAAAATCAGAATCTTTTAGGTAAAGTCACATTTACTGCTGGTATGGGAAACATGAGTGGCCCTCTGGAGAAGTGGAAGGAACCAAGCTTTATTAAACCAGCAGTCTGAGAAGAGCTGAATACTCCAAACCGTGAACTCTTAAGACTTGGAGATATTTGGGTAAGGATGAGCAAAAGTTTCGCTGGTCTTTTTATCTTGTAGTGACAAAGTGGGGAATTACGGGACAGCAGGCACTGAGGCTATTAAAACCTTGGGGTCACAAAGTAGAACAGTGCAAGGGCAAAACATTATCTATCAGGCAGGACTTGGGGCTGAGCTCTTAAGAGAGGTGAAGGGGGTCCTGAGATGGCCAATTTTCAGTCTCATAGGTACTGCTCTTTATAAGGATGATCTTAGAGATCTCACGGCTATGGAAAGGAGCTCTTACATTGATACTATTCTTGTCTGTTAGTTAAGATTCCATTTCTGTGAATGTTATCAAATGCAAACTTTAGGAAATGCACTAAACTTATAATATAACGAAGACATTGTGTTAAACATGGGATAAATAATTACAAATAAGACTGTCTTTGAAAAAGCTTACTGTGTAATTGGCAGGAAATTCATCAATACATGAAAAACTTGAGCATGAAATTTTGGGATTCATGTCTAAATTAATTATGAAAGCACTCACTGCTCTTATTTTTAAAGACTGGTTGGTTAAACTGTCTTTAGGAATTTAGTGCCCTCTAGTGGATTAAGTAGGTATGTCTAAAACCTTATGGGCAAATTTAAAAACTGAAATGAAAAAGGTCATTTTCATCACTTTTGTTATTTGTGTTTTGTTTGGTGAATTGCAGCAAACAGCAAAACATTTCTCATTCATTGTAAGGTAGTAATTATTTTTTCAAGCAATCACTGTTATTCTTGTTTTCACAATATTTTCTTGGTAATACTTGTCATCTGGTTTGTTTTTATTTTACTGCTTGATTTTCAGTATGCCAAATACGTATTTGATGAATAATTGGATGAGTAAGTTCTAAAGTTAGGAAACAATGTCACAGTTGTTTGTATCTTCTCAGTTTTATTGGAAGGATGATGATTATTACAATTCTTTCAGTTCTACCACAACCAGAAAACCACGTTCCAGTTTATTATGCTCAATATTTTTATTTCTTTTCAGCTACTAAGCAACTATACAAATCATCAATGAGGAATAAACCTTGAGACAGGGTCCTCTCCTAATTATTAAACTGATAGTCTAGTGCAAGAGATAAACATTAAATAGATATGCATTTAATTTTATAAATTAAATTGCATAAAAAATACAATTGTGGTGAATTATGTAAAGAAAATGTACATAATACTATAGGAAAGTATGCCAAAGGAACTAACTGGGTTTGAGTTTTTGCTTGGGTGAATGGACAGAAAAAGGATGTTAGGAAAATATAATATTTTTAGAAAAAACTTTTATTCTGAGTAGTGGTATAAAGGACCTTTAAACAGTATGTCAACCTTTCATACATAAAAGAGAAATAAGGCTGGCAACAAAAAAAGGAAAAGTATAAATGTTAGTGCAGATTGATGAGACCTAATGTCTCAGTTGGGCTTTGTTTTCCAGAGATTGTCTAGGTTAATTTCTAAGAATGAAGGCTCTCATAGGGGGACTGAGGTAGATGCACTATAGTATATTTCTAATTTACCAGGGACACTCTAAAATATCTACCACCTCTCCTTCTAGTCTAAGTAAACCATCATCCAAAGATGCTTCAATATTCAACATATTTGTTATGAAAAATGCTTTCATAAGGGACATATGAAAAGCTCCTATGAGGGGGAGGAGTAACTACATTTTAAGTCATTATAAACAGTTCCTTAAAAGAAGAGCCATTAGGTAAATCAACTGTTTAATGAAACCAGGTTGATGCCTGACAAACCTTTTCACTCTATAGTTTTTTTGTCAATGGGATCAGATATACATGCTCCATGATTGTCAATCCATTTTCATGCTTAGCCAAGTGATCCCCAGATTCTAGTACACATCAAAATCATGTGGCATAAAATAGAGATTTCTGGGTCTAAGCATTTGCTTTTTTTTGTTGGTCTTTTTGAGAGAAGGTTTCCTATGCAGTTCAGGTTAGCCTTGAACTTCTTTTGTAGCCTAGGCTGGCCTTGAACTTGCAGTTCCTCCTGCTTGAGCCTCCCCAATGCTGGAATTACTGGTGTGCTGACAAGTGTAAATTACCTATACCTAATGTCTTAGTTACTTTTCTCTTGTTGCTAAACAAAATACCTAACACCCAAGGTTAAAAGAGGAAAGATTTATTGAGCTCACAGTCTGTAGAGGTTTCAGTCCATAATCAATTAGATGTAAGGCAGGATAGCCTATTAAATTTTTACAGTGGATCTTAATAGGAGCTGGTGTTAGAGCTCAGTGGTACAGCACTTGTCTAGTATGTATGACTCTTCCCCAAAAGTACGCAAGTGCAAGGTTGTGAGTTCCATCTCTGGTACCAAAAATAAATAAATAAATAAATAAATAAATAAATAGAAGTCTGAAAAAAAACCACTTTTCCCCTCTCCTTTGGCTAGATCCTGGAGAAAAACTTCAAATAAGTTTTTAGTGTGAACTGGTATAGGGAGATGAAGAGAAGATAGGGATGTGTAATAAGTAACATACTGACACAAAAGCAAACAGTCAAAACCTCTAGTGAAAGATGAAATATTGATAAAATACTTTAAAAACACTAACTAGAAAATATTAGGCAGTACAATACAGTTTGTTTATTGACTCCATTGCTTATGGTGCATTTATGACAGAGATGGGCAGGGGACAGAGGTAGGGATGGAAAGAACATGCTCTTCAATGAAATTATAATCTATTGGCTCAAAGAGACAATATGTAACTATCAATGAAGTGTCACAAAGGTATAAACAATATATGCAGGTTCCAGACTTCCACACTGCAACTGCTTACTTGACAGCCAAATGTATTTTTTGTTGCTGTTAACAGCTTTCAAAAGATGTAAGTGTCAGGGATTTAGCTCAGTGGTAAGCACCAGGTCATGAGTTTGATCCCTGGTCCAAAAAAAATTGTGTAACGAGAGAGCCAAGCATGATGGCACAAGCCTATAATCCTAGTACTCAGCAGGCTGACAGTAGGATTGCCATGAGCTCAGTTGGCATGTGTGCACACAGTGAGTTCAAGGCCAGCCTAAACTGCATAGAGACACCTTGACTCAAAAAACAAAAACAAAACAACAAAAGAAGCATAAAGAGATTAGGCAAAAATTTTAAAAATGTACACTGAGAAAAAGAGTATGGTCTTCAAAAGGGAGAGGCACCTTTTACCCTGGTATTGAGTATATTTATGGGGGCATGGAATGGAAATCTGGAACATGTTAATCTACGGAAAAAGTTCAATTTATAGATCAAATGTAGTGGCCCTTTCTGCAGCAAAGGGTGATGGGCCATTCGCGATATAGCCATCACAGGTGACAGAGTGGTGCAAAGCAAGCCAACTGTACTCTGATGTCTCACAGATATCTTAAAGTTTAATAAGAAATAAAACCTGAATTTGTAAGTTTTCTCAAACTTTTCTTACCATGAAGTTTTCTTTCCATCTCAGTAAGATATACTACTTTCTAATCAGCCACTAAGGTCAGAAAACTAGAAGCCACCCTTCATTCCTCCCTGTCATGAGCCACATCACTCCCACAGCAAATCCTTGAGTCTTATCAGAAGCCATCTTTCAGCCTCCATATATTCTGACACCACCTTGGTACAAACTGCCATTCTCTTCGGCTTATGCTGTTGTTATCAGCCTTGTAGCTGCATGATTTGGGTCTCCACTCTCCCCTCCAGATTCATCTTATAAATGTGTCCTTGCTGAAAATACTTCAGCTATGCTTTTCTCAGTTTCTTGAATACCTTGGTATGTCAAGCTCTACAAATCCGACTCATTCTGTTTGGAATGTTTGTTTTTGTTCTCTTTCATGGCTTGATCAGTCTCAACTTTCAGACCTCAATTTAAATATCAAAACTAGGCTATTATCCCACCACTCTAGGAGTCTGTGAAGGGCTGAAATTTAGTCAGATCCCATCTCAGAAAAAACAAAAGAAAGCAACAACAACAACAAAGGCTAGGGATGTGAATGAAGGTCCTGAGTTCAAACCCCAGTATTGGGGCAGGGGGAAAATTAAGCAGCTCCTTAGGATTTCCCAGGCCACTCTAAATTCCACAGTTTTCCTCTGAGTCTTTCTTAAATTCCATTGATAAAAGGTATTTTTTTTTTTTTTTTGTCAAGATAGAAATTCATCTTGCTGTCCCTTACAACTACATACATAACTTCTTGACAGAGGAAGGTACTTAAAACTCTCTGCAGAGGGCCTGGATTTAGCTCAACTGCATAAATGCCTGCCTGCCAAGTGCAAGGTCATGAGTTCAATCCCCGGTACCAAAAAGCAAAAAACAAAAACAAAAACCCAAAACAAAAATATAACTCTCTGCAGAGTGAAAAACTTACCATATTTTATGGTCCAGTCTTGCAGAGTCAGGAAAGGCTATTTGGTTTTGAAAAGGTCTTTGCAAACTAAGAAGGAAAAGAACAAGCCAGGCTGCAAATAAGGTGTGAAGTAAGGAGGAGGGTGGTGCATTTGAGGAATACAAAAGGCATTCTGGAGCTGGTGGGTTTCCCAGTGTTCAGTGCTTGCCTACCATGTATGAGTTTTGATACCCAGCATCAAGTGGGCAGAGGGGAAGACAGTCACACTCTAAGGCTGGAGCGTCGGGCTACACTGTGGAAAACCACTGCAGATAGACAAGCAGGCAAAGACAGACAAGAAGGGGTCTAAAAACTACGCTCAGGAGTTTGGATTTAAATCTATGGGGAAATACAAGAGCTAGAATGGTGGGAGTTGAAACAGAAAGTGACTTGGTCAGATGTGTACTTTATCAGCCTGGCAATGTGGAGACTTCATTTGGGAGGTTGTAAGACTGTAAGCAGAAGCCACAGAAGGCTACATGTCACAGTTATGCTGCAGTCATGGGGTCCAACTAAAGTAACCACTAGAGAGAAAAAATGGATTTGAGATACAGATGTGAGGGAGTAAAAAGGAGTCCAGAAAGCATTCAAGTTTCTGGTTTTCAGAAACCACTGCTAAGCATTTTCTCTCCGGACTATCAAAGGCAGTTTGGAAAAACCACTCTTCACAGCACGTCCTGCTCTGTATGGTATCTTTTTGAGGCCAAAACGGAGCCTCTCCCTCATTGTTTATTTCCCGTTCTAAAAGCTCACCCCAGCACACGGGAGGCTGACGCAGGTAGATCCAATAAGTTCAAGACCAGTCTGGACTTTATAGCGGGATCTTGCCTCATAAAACAAAATAAATAAAAGCCCACACCTCCGCTAGCGCGATGGTACAGTAAGTGTTCAATAAAAGTTCGCTAAGTGATTGCAAAAGAACAGAATATAACGTGATTGCCTTCTTACCTTTTTTTTTTTTTTTGATACTGGGAATTGAACTCACGACCTCGCGCTTGCCTGGCAGGCGCTTATGCCGCTGAGCTAAATCCCTGGCGACCTTTTTACTCTTGTACCCTCACGGCCTCCCTTCAGAGAGAGGGATCCTGAAAACAAGGCGTGAGAGCCTGAGTTCAACCCATAATAATGGATAACGGCTTCGTCACAAGTCTTTCCTCCTAATGCTCCCCAAGAACTCCTCCCTAACTCACCCGTCGCAGACTGCCAGCGATCTTCCAGAGAACGCTCCAGTGACGCAGGTCAGCTGATCGCAGCGGCTCACCAAACGCACAACACAATCAAATCTCCCGCGCCCGCTTCCGCCGGAAGTGACGCCTTGACCGTGGTTCCTTATAACCAATCAGAGAAGACCACGCAGAGATTAGCCAAAATAACCCACGTATTTGGGTGCGACCATTTTCTTCAAATTGAGGGAGGAAGAGTTTGAGGAATACTGTTTCCCGACTAGTGGGGCAATTGGGGCAATAGTACAGTCTGAAAATTTGTTTTCCGGGCCGCGCTGAGGCAGCTAGTCCTGTAGATGGCGGGAAGGCGTGGCAGCGGGTAGCCACGCCCCTCGGGCTGGGGTCGGCCTGGGAGACGCAGGCTGTGGAAGCCGGAGAAGCCGGGGAACCCGAAGGTGGCGCTGTTCAAGGAGCGGGGTGGGCGGGGGGAATAGTGCTACCCAGGGCTTAGGAAGGAAGAGCGCAGTGTCAGGGCAGGGGTTTAGAGTGAGTTACCCTTGAAAGAAAAAGAAAGGGATGTAACCTGCGAGGCAGGCCGGGAAGGGGCGACCCCCCAAGAATGGGTTATACAGGCATTGTGGAGGTTTAGAGCGACCCAAGCACCAGGTTCTATAGGGTTGGTTAGGCTGGCACAATGGAGGTGAGGTGCAAGCAGCGCTGTCTGAGAAGCAGTGCTCCACTTCCTGCTACCTGCTTGACAGGATACAAGTCCTCGCCCCCGAGCCGCCTCTTCAGCTTTTAGTGGCAGCTACAGTCGTGCAGGAGGCACAGGATTGCCATCCAGATTGAGTTAGATGAGAAGACGTGTGCGCCATCGTGCCTAGTGACGTACATATTGGCATGTCAATACAGCTGTTATATGAGATTTGTGGAGTGCAAAAGATGTTGCGGTGGAACTGAGGTGACATGGGCAGGTTTTGGCGGTGACGATAAAGACAGCTAGAGGAGAGGTGGGCGTGGGGCCTTGGGATAGGCGGCGAGACAGGAGGCCCTGACACGATGAAGTGTGGGCCTGAAGGAAGGGATGCGCGAGAGGCACTCGGAGTGCGGCGGCGTCTTGACGAACCCGGTAGCGAAGCAGAGGAGCCGCCTGTCTAGGGATTTGCCGGGGGAGGAGCCGCTGGTCCGCGGGCGGAGCTGAGGGCTGGGCTTGGTTTAGACTGCGCCTCTCCTGTGTGACTCCAGCTCTCCCAGGGCTTTGCAACCGCCAGCTCGCGCCATGGGCTACCCAGCTCTCCTCTTGCTCCTGGCTGTCCTAGTTCCCCGGAACGCCGTAGCCCTCCGGCCGGTACTAAAATCCCTGGGGGATCTACATTTAATCAGCTCCACATCCCAGTCCGCTATAGTCCAGAACTACTCAGTTCTTTACTTCCAACAAAAGGTAAGGGGTGTGTGGTGGTGGGGGTGGGGGCGGGGTTTCGAGGTCCCAGGTTCCAACCGCCAGGATCCCCATCATGTGTTGCTTTGAAATTCAGACTTCTTAATGCCGAGGACCTTGTGCAGATGCCTGGGAAATGCCCTTCCTAATGCCCACGGACACTTTCCCGAGGGTGGTCCCAAGTTTAAAATTTCTCCATTACTAGTATTTGATATCTACCAGGCTTCATTCTCACCCATAGTCTCTCCCTCAGAAATTTCTTCGCTCATCGTTCCGGAGGCTAGAGCTGTCTCCTTTTGATTCCTGCTGTTCCGTAACTGGTCATAACAGTCACTTCAACATCCTTTGCTCCCAGAGTACATCTTGGGTGAAATGACAAGGAACCTTTACAGTTTTACTTTGCTGGGAGCCTGAGTAAAGCATTTAGAAAACATCGGGATTAGAAAGAGTGCAAGGGTGTGATCCTGGCTTCAGGTGCCTTTCACTCTCCTAGCTTTGTGGTCTTAGGGCACAGTATGTTCCTGAGCTTAGTTTCTTTATTTCCTGGGGTTTGTGGTGATGACTGAATGAGAGCGGAAGACAAACCACTGGTATTGTAGCTGGCCTGATGTAAGCACTTATTAAATGCATGATTACTGACCTTTATGAATTTTGAATAGAAATTTGAGTTAGAAACATGGCAAGATTTTGGATAACTTCCAAGAAATAATTTTCAACTATGACATTTGACTTTTAAGTAGATGGCAAAATGTTTTAATTTTAGCAGTGGTATGAGGTAGTAGAGGCCTTTTTCTCAGTCAACCCCTTTAACTCTGTAGGGCTCAGTTGTAAACTCAAAGCTTGGTCAAGACCAGTGCATTTCATACTTTACTGAGGAAAAGTATGTTCAGAGGGAAGTTTGAAGTGGAGGCCATGATTAGATTCTCCATGACTCCCTGTCTCTGCGACATCTTACACCTGCAGTTCTTTGCTTTTAAATACTGGGATTTTCTTTTGTTTAGGTGGCACTGGGGATCAAACTCATGACCTGGGATCAAATTCATGACCTTGCACTTGCCAGGCAGGCACTTATGCCTCTGAGCTAAATCTTGGGTCCATATACTGGAATTTTCTATAAAACTATTTGCAAAGTCCATTTGCTGAAGTAAAGTGAGGGGTGATTACTGGAATAGATTTCTAAAATTTCTTTGGGAATGCTGGGAAAGAATTGTCAGTAGAAAAAGAAATGACAGAGAAAAAGGGGAACAAATGATGTGTTCCTAATTTATGGGTTTTGTTGTTATGTTAGTGTCCTTTGTTGGTCTCTACACTTCTTTAGAAATATAATTTAAGGCTTGTTCCTTTTCAATTTTTTTGCTATTTGGATTTTTTTTTTTTTTTTGCTATACCATCTCTTTTTTTCACAAATTCATTTTTCTATCCCAGCTGAAATGGCATGTATCCAGTAAAACCTTGGCCTCTTTAGGGTGTGCTAACTGGTCTTTTTTAATGGCTGGGTTCTTATTTTGTATGTGTCCCTCCAGCTAGATGACAGTCTCTGGTATTAGACAAATGTATGGAGAGTATAAGAGTTTTCCATGTCCAGTTTAGGAGGAGGGTTTGGGGAGGTAGTGGCAGGAACCAAGTCCAGCTAAAAAGGGGACAGGAAGAAGCCCCTGCCACAGCCCAAGCAATAGGCTGAGGAATGAATGAAATAAGGCTGTCAAGCAGAAACAAAACGAGAAGATGAAGAAATGTGAGGTTAAAAACAAAGACTGGGAAAAGGGTCCTGGCTATAGGTAGAATTAAGAATGCTTACCCAAAAAACATGTTCTTCCTTGTGCCTAAAATCGTGATCACCCTTGATTGCATTCCTGTTTAACTTTCTGGACTTGCAACATCTTTTGCTACTTGTAGCTAGAATGAAGCCATGTCTTAGAGCCTTGTTGTATATTTAAGCACAAACCTTTGCTAAGAAGAGAAAAGAAAAGAACGTACTATATAAGGCACAGAATAAATAGTTGTTGTTAGTATAATAATAATTATGATGGGATTGGGGATTTAGCTCAATGGCATAAGTGCCTACCTTGCAAGCGCATGGTCTGAGTTTGATCCCAGGTACTGATATCAAAAAAAAAAAAAAAAAAAAAAAAAAATCATGAGAGTGAATGGATGACTGTTTAAAGAGCACAAAGTAGAGGGTACTATTATTTGATTAATGCAAACTCTTACTCTTTCTTTCTTTCTTTGATACTGGGAATTTAACCAGGACCTCTGCGCTGAGCCACATCCTCATTTTTATTTATTTTTTTAAATTCTGAAACAGGGTCTTGTTGCTAAATTGCATAGGCTGAGTTTGAACTCCCAGTCCTCCTGCATCAGTGTCCTATTATAGTATTGGAATTACAGGCATGGGCAGCATGCATACAAGCAGATTTGGGTGACACAAATAATTTTTATTTTTCTTTTTATTTATTACTCTTCCGTGCTTTAGCAACTGGTTTTCCTATTTTTTCAAAGTCTTCAAATGTTCATTTAGTAGAAATACCTGTTGTTTTTTTGTAAACCTGAAATAACTGAATCAGAAGACCAGAGGAAGGGTGTGCCTGCATCACTTGGGTGCATAAAGGCTATGGGTACAGGTGTGATGCCAGTGTTGTAAAGGGCTTCCAGGGTTGCCTAGTTTGTGATTATAGTGTTTCACTGTTTATATGCTTATAACTTTCCTCTCCCATCCAAGCTCCTTAGACTAGACTGATTCCTGAGGTGATTTTACTAGGTAATGTGGAGAAGAATGGATCCTGTCAGGCTGCCTTTATCCTAAGTGGTAAAAACAAACAAAAACCCCAGGGATTTGAGCATTTGTAATTATAGCATCTTGGGAGGCTGAGGCAAATTTGAGGTCAGCATGGGCAGTATAGTGTGACCCTGTCTCAACAAGAACAACAACAACCCCCCCCCTGCCCAAATCTATAATGTGTACTATATTGGTTGGGCTCTTTAGAGAAACACAACCAATAGTCTGTCTTTCTATTTTAGGGAGAGAGAGAGTGAGAGAAAGAAAAAGAGATTTTGAGATTGAGAGACTAGAAAATCCAAGTCTGGGGGGCTTAGTAAATCCAAAGGCTGTGGACTAGGCAGGTTGGCTACCCAGGGAATTGCTATAGTTTGAGTCCACAGGCAGTCTGCTGGCAAAGCAGAATTCTTTTCTTGCTGAGGGAAGTCTTGTTATCAGTTCTATTAAAATTTAAGCTGATTGAGGCCTACCCAAACAGAGTTCTCTAGTTTAATTGTTAATCTTATCCATAAAACACCTTCATAGAGACATCCAGAATTATGTTTGACCACATATCAACACCATGACATGGCCAACTTGACAGATAAAATTAACCACCACATCTATCACAGATGTCGAGGTAAATGTGGCAGTGCCTGTAAGCACATGTAAGGTGCCTGGAACATGAAGGGAATTTAAATAATTTAATAGGGTAAACACTAGTTCTCTCCCTTCCCTGGCCCAGAGTCACTCTCTGTAGTGGTTATTTATTTCAGATCAACTGAAGCAGCGATTGCCATGTTCAGGCTTCTGGAATCTAGCCGTCAGCATCTATGTCCAATTCCTTTTTAACTGCCCATCAGAGTTTCTATGAGAAGTCTGTCTTGGCCTCAGCAGTGAACTAATCGTCGCCATTGTGGGACCTTCCCATGGTGCCTTCCTTAGGAGTTGTGGTGCAGTCACATTGGGGGGCCAGGCTGTTTTAATATATGGTCATCCTACCCAGTTCTGCTTTCAGTTCCTGCTTCAGTTTCTGCTTTGCCACTTTTGTCACTGTGGCCCTGGTCCCTTGGAGGAACTATTACACAGATACTTTCCCGTCTCCTTTTGTGTTAGCCTTCTATCACTGTGACAAGCTGGGCATAGCAGCACATGCCTGTAATCTCAGCAAGAGTGCTGTGAGTTCAAGACTTGCCTGGGTTACATAGTGAGTACAAGGCTAGCCTGAAATACATGGTGAGACACTGTCTTAAGAAACCAAAAAGGAAAAGAAAAAGAAACTGCCCCTGAAATGAGGAAAGACTGAGGGAAAGCAAGCTCTGGGATCCCTAACTCCTGTGATCCACTTCTTCCGTTTAGGTCCTATCTTCTGAAATTTCTGTCACCTTCCAATAGTGCCACAAGTTGAGAACCAAGCTTTCAACACATGAACCTTTGGGGGACATTCCCAGTCCAAACTGTAACATTTTCCCATTATTGGGTTCTATTGATGGTCTTCCCCTTAGCCTGGAGTAGACTGTCACAAATATGTGAATTCTGAACAGATTTCTGTGTTCTGTGATACACCTCCTTTTTGGAAAGGTCTTGGTGGTTATGTAGCCCATGTCTTAGCTATGATGGGTTGACCTGTGTATAAATTATGGAGGGGCTGGAACTTGATAGAGTTTAATATTATAGTAGTTAAGAGCACTGCCTAGACCAGTGTGGTGATGATTGCCTGGAATTCCAACACTGGAATTATCACCTCTGGGCGGCTGAGATAGGAGGACCACAGATTTGAAGGCATACCTCACTACATAACCAGATCTTGTCTCAAAAAAACAGTAAAACTTTAGAGATAAAGAGGTTCAAAAAAATTAAAATAGAGACAAAGAGATTTGAGAATGAATTTTATTTTTGCCACCTCCTGTACCTCACAGGTTTGTTATGAAATAAGATGGTATGTGTCAAATGCTTATTGAGCAAAATTCATATAATTATAAACAATAACTGGTAAATATTTTATTGTATCTTGCAGTTTCTTAATTTATCCTTTCTCCTATCAGAATAAAATATTTAAAGTGTTTCTTCTAGCTAAAATAGTTATTCTGAAAAAAATATGAAAACCTGTATGAATTCTTTCCTGTTATATGATATATATGTGACTTTTTGATGGCATATGTTTCAGTGACACAGAAATTAACTTTTTTTCTTGCTTGAGATAATTTTCTTTCATATAGACTCATACATAAAACTATTTGTATTTTAT